GACTTCATCTTCTAGTATCTTAAAGTAACGAAGCCTAAAATATTCACGCCAGCATTTTTAAACAGCATGGTCCAACCATCTGTGTTTTTCAGAGGTTAAGAACCTATACCCATATGCAAATGAGGATATTAAAAAATCATGTCAATTTAGTTATGAAATTTAGACCGAACGAGACAAGACTTAAGAGCAAGCGCCTGAACCATTTCTTTTGTGCCTCCTTGTTCTGGATCCAGCAAACTCCCCTGGAAAAGCCAGATGGTAACTCTCCAGGCTTTCAGGCCACACAGACTCGCTGCCACGCATTCTCCTTGCTGGCCATGTGGTTCCCCCCCCACAACCCTTTAAAAAAGCGCCCACCATTTGAAGCTCAGGGGCTGTCAGGCAGGGCCGCAGCCAGTGGCCATGATGTTTTGACCCTGACCTCTGGCACGTTACTCATAAACGTAAGAAGTGACTATGCACAGTGAGGCGTGAGAAAGAGAGCGCCCGGAGATGTGATGAGGGCACAGACTGAGGACTTCCCTACGGGGGAGGGGGAGGGAGCCGGGACCACAGCCATCCCCCACATCACAGCGGGCGCCGACTCCCACCTGGAAAACGTACGTGACAGCAGAAATCCGGGGGAGATGAATATTGGAGAATAAGGAAACACTTAAAGAACAGCACACACTGACGCAGTTTTTTACAATTGCCCGTTACTGCGGGAAATGTTCAAATATACTACTTACGGAGCAAGTGGAGCACCAAAAAGTATAAATGTGTTATGTATTTTCTAAAAACGTGTACTTTTTCTGATTACAAAGGTCAGAGGCTCATTTTATTAGATGAGAAATAGAAAAATAAACAAAAAGGAACTTGTAACACCATCATTCAGAGATCTCCCTTCTGCTTCTGTCTCACTCCCGTCTCTTCCATATGCTCTATATCATATTAACACATAGAATATATTAAGGGTAACACACTATGTCATATAACACAGAGACTATATTAAGGGTAACATACTATATCATATAACACATACAATATATTAAGGGCAACATACTATGTCATATAATAATACTAAGGGTAACATACTATATCATGTAACATAAAATATACTGAGGGCAACATGCTATATCATACAGCATATATATACAAATATTAAGGGTAATATAACATGGAAAGATTTTTGTCCTGCTCTTTCACTTCTTCTATGAGTGCTGTTTCTACACTGTGGAATATTTTTCTAAACCGCTCTGAATTTACATTTAAATGGCTCTATTTGTATAAATAAAACTGAATAATACATCATTAGGTTGCTTTCCATTCTTTTTTTACACTAAAAATATTGACAAATAGCTCCCTGGATAAAAATCTGCATGCATCTGTCTTCTCCCAGAACGATTTCCAGAATTATTGAGTAAAACAAATGGTCTGACTATACTTGGGAGTCTTGTGCTACGTATAGTGTTTAATTGCTGTTTTAAAGGGTTACCACACTTTATAATGAAATCAGCCAGGTTTTCACACGATCCCTTCCCCACAGCCCCATCATCGAAAGCATTTTCTCTTTTGGCCCATCTTTGCCAGCTGCGCAGGGAAGAATAAATTCTGCGTGGACTTATTGCTGGTGGCAGGCCTGGGATGCTGAGAGGCAGACGGGGTAAACCAGAAAGACAGACCAGGAAGGACCCGATCTACAGTCCTTCTCATTGTAGAGAGATGTCCAGACGCTGCCACAGAAGTTTATCCCGAAGAAATGAATCGGAAGGCGCATACGGCCTTTTAACAACCTCTCCCATGCGAACATTAAAGCATTCCTTATGTGATTTCTTAAAAGTCAGTATCCTCCCAATTCCTAACACTACCAATTTCTTAAAAAAAAAAAAAAAAGAAGAAGAAAAGAACTAAAGGTTCCCAAGGCCCTCCATCCGCGCAGCAGAGCAGGCAGATGTTAGGAGGCGGGCGTTAGGGGTTCGCCATTAACTGGACGCTGCAGGTGCCGACCCTAGACTCCCCTTGGTTTCCAGGCCTCACCTCAGAGCATCACCAGGAAGGGCGCTGCGTGTGCAGCTCCTGCCGCGCTGCCCTGCTCTCCGATGCCAGCGATCCCCGTTCCCGGTGACTGCGTGAGCTGCGGGCGCAGCTGACCTGTGACACCAGGGGCCTGACTGTCCTGAAAGCCGGTGTGGGCTCACGGGGACCCACAGCAACTCGTGCGCGCCTGCCTTTATCCCCGGGGGAGGTGACGGCAGAAGGACAGGACACGTGTGCAGACAAGGAGGACACAGGAGGACCCGCTGCGCCCTGTCGTCTGGAACTCGGGGCCGAGAGGACCTGCCCGCGGGTCTGTGACCCGACACACGTCCAGGCTGACCCCTGACACCGGGTGTTCAGTGGCCTATTGATCCAAGAACAGGGTGAGCAGAGTAGGCTGATGGTTGTTCGCATGGAAAATACGACAAGGACTAAATAGCAACACAGGAGTAAACCCTGTTTCACATACTCACACTGTAAGCCTCCTCTGCCCACCGTGTATGTGGAACGTATTTTCCTATGAACGTGTATTTTTTAGGACAATGTGTGTTAGAATTCCTGCCCATTCATTCTCCTTTTACTGGAACTGAGGGGAGGGGGCAAGTCACCGAGCAAAGCGCACTGTATACGGGGTGCGAGTCTGAAACCTCGCGGGCAAATGATCAGGATCCCTTTCCTCCCGGCCCGTGAGAATGCCGAGGCTGGTAAGTCCTTCCTTCCTGAAGGTGTTGATCACCTTGTTCTCAGACGGCACGAAGCGAGTTGTTTTTTATAAGCACATGCCTATGCGGTAAATTCACTGAAAAACATGAAACGCCCTCATTCTGTAGCAGGGCTCCAGGTGAGGCCTGTACAGGTGAGTCACGGGTTCATCACATCCACACAGACCTTTGATCCACAGGAGCCGAGTCAGAGCTGTCACCCGCTCACGAGGGTGGCTCCGCACAACCAGCGCTGCTAGGGACACGGCTGGGCGGGGCGGAGAGAACCGACTCTCACAGATGCATCCTCAGGCGCTTTTCCTGTCCCCCCTTCACCCTTTCCCGACAGGTCTGCCTCCATGGAGGCGAATGGCTCTTACAGAGAACTCAGAGGTGCTTAGCTGCCCCTCATTAGATGTCGCATTAAAAAAAAAAAAAAAAGACACCAAATAGCCTATTATGCATATTGAGGTACTTTTGCTCTTCAAACTCCATTAAGTTCTTATAAACCTCAATTAAGTGAAAGAACAGCTCATTAGAACAGCTTGTGTTCAATAGACTCGGAACCTCGCAAAGAAGATGGGCCCAGACCTGAGGCCTGACCCTCCCCTTCCCACGTGTCCAGCCCTCAGTGTCTGGGACCAGACGGTTACATCCCTTCTCATCTGAGCAAATCACACTCATCCTGCGGAGTCACCTGCACGTCATCAGGCCTCTGGGAGGCTGTTTATTCTGGAAACACCCTCTGGAGCTGGAGAGAATCTAGAGGAAATCTGGAGCAGGCGAGAACATGGCCTGCATTCATGGAGATTTGAATGGGATCAAAATGGATAAGTGACATAAGCAGGGGTGGGGGACAAGCACAACCATTTATGACTTCATTTAAATAAAGTCCCAAATACTTATCTAATTTCAACAGTTGATACAGTATCCATAATCTTATCAATAATGGGAAATACTGGGAGAGATTATCCTAGGTGTTTCATAAATGCTTGCTGAGAGAAAACACAAACAATGCCATGTATGTGTGACAGTATAACTGAGGTCTAGGCAGCATGGAAATAAGGTGTTTTTAGAAGTTCTGACCTATGAAAGCAGTCAACATAGGCCAAGGTCATCCTCCAACAAGACCACGTGTTCAAAGGAAGATGCCGAAGTCCGTCTTGTACGGTTAATCCTGTCCCACCGGCTGTTTCCTTTCAGTGGGGGAGGGGGTTACGTTACTGCAATTAGAGTTTTAAGCTTTCAAGCAAAGTCCAACTGAAGTTAAGAGATTAGTCATTGTTTTGGACGACTTGCTGATCGTTCCTACTGCCTCCTTCGCTTACTCACTCTGAAACACTCACAGAACAGCCCTCCCTGGAGCCACGGGCAGGATCAGCAGTGAAACGATCGCAGCTCATTTGCTAAAACTTGGACAATTGTAAAGATCTGCTTTTCCCATATAATCACTCTCGCTCCATTTCGGCTTCCTAGGCCTCAGGAGGTGGGAGGGAGGGGTCTGGGTGCACAGCCCCAGCTCCGCGGCTGCAGGGGGTCTGGGCTTCCGCCTCTGCAGTTCAGGCGAAGCCTTTGGAATTAGGGAGCAACTGCCGCTGCTGCACTTCCCCACGGAAAGTGCTTGTTCGATCGCAAAACCTGGCTGTGTCCAGGGAAGGGAATGGAACCAGGGCACGGAGGCGGCCACTGGGAACCGCCCAGCACCCACAGCCTGAGTTTCAGACAGGCCCACGCTACACCAAATGCCAGGATGCAAGCAGGACTGAAATCCAACCAAAACACAGCAAACACCAGAAGCGGGCATCGCTCCAGCACCCACAGAATTCAGTCTCGAGGGGAGGAGGTAAAGCGAAACCTTGCAGGCGTGAGAAGGACAGGGAGTGAGGGCCGAGCCCAGTGCAATGGGAGCGCCCAGGAGGCTCCAGGCAGAGCTGCGTGCTGGCAGGGGCCCCAGTGAACACTATAGTGGGGCTGAGAGGGAAAACGGCTGTGCAAATGGCCAGAGTCAAGTGGAAGAAGCCTGGCTGGACCGATTCGGGTTTGGGGGGGAAGGCCGGGGAGGCCTGGAGGCCACGGGCCTGGGAGACGCGCCTTTGGGCAAAGACCCGGAACCTGCCGCCGTCGAGCTTTTTCGTGGGAGGGCACCCCCAGGGTGTATAAGGGGGTCTTCTTACTTCAAGGAGAGAAAAGAGAGGCCAAGAAGGAGGGTGGGCTCTTCTGGATGATGAAAACGAGTAAAAACGGTCTAGAAATGTGTCACCAAAGAATATACTAGGTGACGCAGAATAAAATGCATACCCTTCAGATAATCACTGTGCGTGTCTAGGAGGGTTTTTCCTTCCTGGTTCTGAGGGGCCAGGTCGCAGAGTCCGGTGCGACGTGGTTACCAGTGGGCAAGCGCTATTTCCTTGTATTGCAGTGGGCATGCGTTATTTCCTTGTATTGTTCGCGTGGAAGTGTTACGGTAACAGCGTGGGCCCAGCTGGCCCAATCTATCATCAGAACTGATTGACACGACTTAAGACTGAGGTTTTACCAAAACTAGCTCTCCTAGCTAACGAATTTGAATGCAGTCGATGGAATCTTAAACTACGTACAATAAACGCACAACCCATATAGGCACGAAGATGCCATCCTGTACACGCAGGAACATGCTAGAATCTCCCCAATATTTTCCAATATCATTGAGCCCAAGAAAACGTCCACTGAAATAACTCCCACAGAGGCCCCCATGCCTGACCGAACGGGTGTCACTTTCATTCCCCGCGGCGTCAGTTTACCTGAGAGAAACCGCGTGCGGCCCGTAGATCTCCCGGACCGCCGACAGGTCGGCCTCGAGCTGCGGGTGCTTGTGCAGCTCCCCGTCGTAGTTCACCTGCGGGGAGGGGGTCAGAGGGGCCAGGTGAGGACGACAGAACCCACCCCAAGCCGTCCACCCCTTGCGCAGCTCTGGAGGTGGCACTTCCTCTGTCACCTTCGCTTACACACACAGGTAATTCGGCTGTATATCCTCCCAAGTGCTTAGGCTCACATACAGTGGGGCCTTGACTTAGGAGTGTCCCGACTAACGAGTTTTTTGAGATACCAGCTGTCTCTCGGCCGATTTTTTGCATTGAGTTGATAGAGTAATTTGAGTTAATGAGCTCCTTAACGAGCTCTGTCTCAGAACGAATTAAACTCGTAAGTCAAGGCCCCACTGTACGTCTAGTGCAGTGGTCGGCAAACTCATTAGTCAACAGAGCCAAGTATCAACAGTACAACGATTGAAATTTCTTTTGAGAGCCAATCCATGCTTTGTTAGAGCTGTCATCATCTCAAAATACGGACCAAGCACCGTGTGCTTAAGAACCGTAAATCAAAAGCATAAGAAGTGCCGTGTGTAAAGTCACGACCATGAAGTAAGACAGTGTCAAAGTCCATGAACGATGACAGTCGGAGAACGGCAAGAGCCACCTTAGCTTCTGAAAAGCGTAGGACAGGAGAACGCGATGAGCCGTACGGGTGCCCTCGTCAGCCACAGGCTCTGAAGGCCGCGTGGGCCTCAAGGAGCGCAGGCATAGACGTCCACGGGACACGGGCGGAATCGCTACGTGGACAGCGGGTGCCGGGGACCCCGGGCGCCTACCTGTCCTCCATAATAGAACTCCTCAGAGTCGTTATCCCCTTCCGAGTCTTCTTCCACTGCACTATTTTGTCTCGACTCCTTAAAAGAACAGAGCAAGGAGACAATTTATTTCAGTGGTCAGAAGAGCTTGCCTCCTGAAAAGCAAGTAGCAAGCGGCCATAGCAGGTGGGTCTCTGCACGTCCCCCGGGTTTTACGGGAGAACATTCTTGGTGCGTATGAGCCAAGAACACAACAGCCAGGAGGAGACGGTGTGGGGAGTTCACTAAGCTCTGTGCACATATTCTTCTAAAGTTCTACTTTGCTTATCCTCATGTGTACAATTTAATGTGTTGCGTCTATATAAGAAACTATATATAAGCAATTACAACTCTGAATTTGTGCTGATAAAACAGCTGACAAGCTCATGCTGATTCAATTTTTTAAGTTTTATTTTTCAATTGCAGCTTGCATTCGGTATTATTTTGTAGTGCTTTCATTTGCACTGACTCAATATTTTTATTAAAAAGGTTCTCAGCATTATTATCACAGGCGGTCCTCACTCCCACTGCCAACTCTACACAATGGTGTGAAAGAAAAGACGCTCTGAATCCAATCATTAAAAAATCAAATTATGAAAATAAATATGAATCACATTATAAAAAAAGACCTTTCAGAACACAGAAACTGCTTTCAATTTCAGATGCAAAAGGATATTTAATTAAATTTGCTTGAACTTGAAGGTTGAGTTTCTAATTAACTAACCCACATCTGTAATGTGTCTAAAGTACAAACAGTGGAAATTCATCTGAATGAACTCATGGTTACCAACAGTTACTATCCCTATTCCCAGCTCCGTTAAAATAAGAAGAAGGAAGGTGGCTTCCTTCAGACATACGAGTCTATTAGCCCAATGTCTTATAATCATCCCTGAATCTCCAGCCCAAATTTCAAACTCTTTAGGAAAACAAAAACCTGGGAACGAGCGCCTGGGAATGCTCCAGCTTTTGGTGTTAGCCACCGTACTGCTAACGCAGTGGTGCGCAGGGTGGATAGGGACGAACAGGACGAACCCTACAACTTTGAAAGCGTTGTGTTGAGTGCATAGTTTTAAAAGCCAAGAACGGATGGCTCCATTGCACTCAGATTGTCTGTGTAATGCCCCAGTATTCACAGCTTCAGGTAACGTTTTCTAAGGGTGAGTTTGCTGTCCGCTGCTGTTAACACGGCGAGAATAACAGGAAGCCGTACCCACACTCTCTGCTACCTCAGCTGAAGGGTCACTTCCACCCGTGGAACCAGGTGTCGTTGTTAGAGGAGGGGGAGTCCTCGTCTAGTCCGTCGCCGGTGGGAGTGGAAATCGTGCCATATCCCCAGAAAAAGAGTTTTTTGAGACTCAGACAGGAGAAGGAGTGGTTTCTATTTGCTTGGAATTAAATCCCTGAGGTTCCTAAGTCCCATTCCCCTCTGTCCCCCCGTAAACTAAGTTCATTTAGGCCATTCCCCTTCCCGCACAATGAGTCCCGAAGACCCAGGGTTTGAGCTTCCTTCACTATTTGCAATCTTAACCTAAATAACAATGATGATGCTGACTACAAATACACAGCAAATTTAAAATAAATACAAAATATAATTTACATACCTCCCCATTTTCCTTCTGTAATTTGGATTTTATGGATAAGCAACAGTTAATGTCATTTGTTTTCCTTAATTCTGAAAGTTATAAATTAAAAAATCATTTTAGTTTTTAGTATACTATTAACACACATTCATAAGTTTCAGCATAAAAATATCTCTTAGGTCAGCAGTTCTCAACCTGTGGGTCGTGACCCCTTTGGGGGTCGAACGACCCTTTCACAGGAGTCGCCTAAGACCATCCTGCATATCAGATATTTACATTATGATTCATAACAGTAGCAACATTACAGTTATGAAGTAGCAACGAAAATAATTTTATGGTTGGGTCACAACATGAGGAACTGTATTTAAAGGGCCAGAAGGTTGAGAACCACTGTCTTAGGTGATTCCTTTGCGAGAAGATTCTGAAATTACATTACATTGGGGAGTTACATAATGACAAGCTATTCTGATTTTTCATTGCTCATAAAAATATGGTCAAACCGAAATGCCACTATACAGATGCTTTCAGCTCTCGATATATATATATATATATCATGTGATCTACAATGCCTCAAGTAGGCTTGTTAAATAAATATTCAGTTTGTCTAGCAGTGTCATTATGCATGAAAACATTTTCAAAAGAACAAATATCAACATGATACCGTTAAACAAGACTTTTTTACAGTACTATAAATGTATGCACTTAAACAACTGTCAAAAAACAAACTAAAGCCCTTGAGATAGAAAATCTGGATGGAGAACCAGATTTCTAAATGCTAAAGATTTACTATCTGTTACATGGGCTCAAGGAAACCAAAACACAAAGCTACCTAATAACCAAATAAATATTAACCTAAGACAAAAAACAGTGTATTCCTATTACCTGTTGCTATTCGGTGAAAAATTACTGGAATTGGCTCTGTGGTAACTAACACATCTTCATCATTTTCTGAACTTGACACGTAGGTATTATCTGCAAAGAAGTATAGACAATTAAAGGCATAGTAACTTGAAAAAGTACATCCTTTATAAAAGTATAAAGTTATATCCACATCACCTCTAACACTCATGAAGCACACACTGTTGTTCTAATAAGTCAGAAAATAATGAAGTAAATTGCCAATGAATGTGTAAACTCATTGTGAATGGCACCTCCTAGGGAAATACAGACTTTGGGACAGACACTGCCCACATCCATCTAAAATGGCCCATCTGTGGCAACGAATCATTTGGATGCAACAGGTTGCCCCAACTCACTGAGCAGGGGCCTTCCCGGTGCCACTCTCTACGCAGGAAGCAGAGCGGAGGGAGGAAGCTCACCAGGACCCCAGGTGCCCCCAAAAGACTCCACATTAAGTCACTAACGAGTCTGAGACAAAACTTCTGTTGTAAATCAGATCCCTCGTGTCACTCTAACATATGTATTGTTTCTTTTTCTTCATTTTTATTTTTCAATGACGGTTTATTTTCATATTACTTTGTATTGGCTTCAGGTGTACAGCATAGTGGTTAGACAACCATATGCTTTACGAAAATAAGGTATGTTCTTGAATTGATACGAATCTCCCAATTCTTCTTCCACAAATTAACTTCATCTAAATAGTACAACACAAGTGAAATGCACAGGACACTTCATTACTACACAGGGTCTCTGTTTCTTATGCATTTTTTGTTTCCTCTGGGAAAATATTTTTTATAAATTTAGGACTTTTCCTGATAAATCCTGATTTTCAAGTACATGCTAACTCAACAGAACACAGAGCTGTTTATCCTACTTTGCTCACTGATGATCACAGGACATAAGTGAGACAGCTATTTAACAAACATGTTATCAATTCAATAATAATGGCCCCATACTACGCTGAATGATGTATAAAATATATGAATTACAAATATAAAAACAGAGGTACAGAATATCCCTTACACACAATAAACAGAAGCCTGTATTAATTTTTGCGAGGGGAATGACAATATGGTGACTGTCTAGATTAGAAACACAATCAAAGATCTCCAGCCAAGTTTTCATAATATTGTGTCAGTGCAGTGAGAACATGCTTTTTAGTTGACAGATATCTAAGTCATCACTTTCTTTCCCAAGAAACATCTGTACTGTTTTTAGACCCTGAGCAGCGAGGAAAGATAGTCCCACATACTCACAGCCCAGCCACACAAGACTCAGTAGACATAAGGCTGAGACGGTTATTCAGAAAGGAGAGAGGCCACATGCATGCGTGTGGATTAGATTTGAAACCAAAAAGGTCGGCCTCGTTACTTCGATTTGTTTTCATGATGAATTCTGCCTTATTTCATTTTCACGCAGCATCATGTGAGTTTCCTGTTTCACAAGTGGAACCACAGACTAAGGAACGGATTTGACACAAATTTGTTTTTTCTCCTCATTAGTTGAGACCGCTTATCTGGAGTCTCTTCTGCCCAGAATCTTGGGCTTTCAGGAAAGGATGCAAAGAGCCCTCCATTCAAGCCAGTGTTTAAATTTCTTTAACCCTCGTGAAGAGTCCTACTGACTCAAAGCTAACTGCCTCTGAATAGACTTAATTAGTTCTTCCCTGTGCACAGCAGACTCCTTGCAGCAAGCTGGTGGAGAAAAGGAGAATGAGAAGGAAGCATTAAGGCAACAGAAGGAACCACTGAGCAGCGACCAGGGGAGACGGAGAGCCATCCGAGAGGCGGGCACAGCCACCTGCAATATCTCAGAGTCACGGAGGAAGGAAGGTTTGCCTAAAGCATCAAAAGGCAAGTAAATCACAACTTTGTTTCATAAAACAGGGACATAGGATGGAACGGCTTATGCAAAGTGTTGTCACTGGAAGGCAGTCAGATTTGACCCAAGAATATACAGTTTGGCCCTGGCCGGTGTGGCTCAGTTGGTTGAGCTATGTCCCAGGCACTGAAAGGTCGCTGGTTGATTCCCAGTCAGGGCACATGCCCAGGTTTTGGGTTCAGTACCCAGAATGGGTGTGTGGAAAGCAACCAATTGATGTTTCTCTCACATCCATGTTTCTCTCTCTCTCTCTCTCTCTCTCTCTCTCTCTCTCTCTCTCAATCCCTCCCTTATCCCTCCCTCTCCCTTCTTTTCTTGCTAAAATCAATAAAGACATATTTTTAAAAAGAGAAAATAGAATGCAGTTTAATGCACACACGTTGCATCATGCTGAAGGACAGGATGACGTATTAAACATACCGTTTTCTCAGAGACTTTCACCAGTTTGTATTCGGGGTAGGACGTAGGCACTAAAACACTTTTGATTTCTGTTTCTGGCTTCATTTACGCAAACCAACCACGTGTTCAAGTTCCATGACAATATATATTAAATCGCCTTTGCAATATAATAGGCCAGCTCACAAAGGTACGTCCAAGTCAGAAACAGACAAAGCCCCTCAAACCCAGACCTTGCTTCCGTCTGCCTGTTCATCCTGTGGCCTGGGCCACGGCGGTCGGATGACACAGAGGAGGGGCTCCGAGGCACGGAGCCCACGTGTCCTCTTGTGGCTGTTTAGATGTGATCTCTGAATCCTCCTCACACTGTGTGACACCTGTTACACTGTCATCACCTTGTTCAGACGTGGAAACGTGGGACGTAAAAGGGTGAGGGACCACTCAACGTAACAGATGGGTCAGTGGCAGAGAATGTTTCCCAATTCAAACCCCTTCCCGGGAATTCTCCCACGTGACTCGAGAGCTGCCAGCTGTTTTATCTTAAAACTGTTGTTGAGGACCGTGAGGTTCTGTGACGTGTACGTGCTGAGGTCCTATAGATCCCTCTGAAAGGCTGTGGAGAGTAGGACCATGTTCTCTTCCCCTCCCCCCAGACCATGCGAGCAGGACCGGGATGTGCGCAGATGAGTGGGAGCTATGGAAAAGGATCGCTTAAACGGTTGCTTTTATTTTATTTCAACTGCAGCATCATTAGGCCAAGTCACTCCATTACTCATCCCTATGTGATTGAAGAGAAATAATTCTAAATGAAATCACACTGTTGTTAGAATATGGATATTTCCCCCGAATATAAGATGTAACATTCAGGTCAACCCCCCAAGCCAAACAATGATTATCCCTCTTATTTATTTTTTTTTAGCTTGATCAAAACCCAAGTTTCTTAAACAGGTATAACTGCTGTGACAAAATCTGCACGTGTGTGTGCGAGGCCAGGGTATTTTGATGCAAACAAGATGATGCTGGATAATGTATTGTCCCTCTTTTAAAGACGAGGAAACCAAGGCTCGGAGAGATTAACTTGCTCAAATTACATAAGTAATTAAAATAGTAATACTACAGTTAGTAGTGGTGAAACTGACTGAATCCAAAAATCAATGCTTTCTTTTTTCAGTAGCAAATATTGTCCCTCAGCGATTGCAATACCCTGTAGAACATGTAAAAGGGACAAAAGAATCCATAAGCCTGGGGGGGGCGGGGGGGGGTGGGTGATGAGAAAGAGTCTGCTGTTCTGCTATAGCAAACTCATCACCCAGGACTGACATTTACCTTTAAAACACAAGCTACAATGCAGACTCCACAGAGGAGGACAGTGAGCCAGAAGGCTGCTCTATTCCTTCCCTGTATTTTGAAGAACCAGCATAGCGTTTAGTATTCCACTCATTTACATGCGATTATGTACACCTAAGACTCAGTAAAGACCCTCCTCAATATTCATTTTCTCTAAAGCAAACTATGAAAGGAGTTTCAAACATGGCACAGGCTACTTAATATATTAATATTATAAAATGACAAATCTGTTCCTAAAGAATACACAGGGTCGCATAATCCTGAATTTGAAGGATTCTGCGGACACATTTCCACGGGGCAAAGAAAATTCCCTATTTTTAAACTTAGATGACGAGCTAATCATTGAACCAGATAACCCAGGAAAGGGCGGGGGAAGCCTGAGGGAAATTAGCAGAAGAATTGGTCAAAGGGGGAAAAAGACAAGAACAAACATAAAACAAGAGAAAGGAGAAATAAATGCAGAGAAGAGGAAGACTTTAGATGTATAGGCTGTATGCTAACAA